ATGACCAAAGTCCGCGCCATCATGAACCAGTCCGGCCTGCCAAAGAAGTTTTGGCCCTACGCCATGAACCACGCGGTGCGCCTGCACAACCTCCTCTCCACCACCGCCAACAGGGACAACCTGTCCCCTCACATGAAGTGGACCGCCTCAAGGGGAGATCCCTCCATGCTGAGGGTCTGAGGGTGCATGGTCAATATCGGCCGACCTCGGCAACAATCGGCAAGTTCGTTTATCGTGCGCAGTGGGGAGTTCATCTGGGGCTCAGTCACGAGCACAAAGGCTGGCTCATCTTTGACATTGACAGCAACGAGATCGTTTCCGCGCGTGACATTCTCTTTTACGAACGGCTCACCCTGAAGTAGTGGATCGAGGACGAGCGCCGCAACTAGGCACGTGGCTATGTCAACAGCAGCCGCTGCTTTGCGACCCCACAAGGCGCAGCAGCAGCAGTAGTACTGGACCGCGACGACACCGACGAACATCCGAGCATCCCACCTCGCCCGCAGGACGACGACGACGATGACAGTGATGACGACCCCGCGCCAGGACCATCACAGTGCCAAGCAGAGCCAAGCACCGCAGCACCCGGCTACGAAAGCGAAGATGACGTGGTGGAAGTCCCCACCACCGCAGACACCACCAATGTGTCAGGCCTTCAACTTCTCGGCCTGCACACATGCGTCTCTACTCTCGCACGGGCCGTGGAGCCAAAGAATCCTCGCCAGGCCCTAACCGGCCCTCACGCCAAGGAGTGGCGTGCTTCGATGGATGCGGAGCTAAAGGCAATGGAACCTCGTGACACCTGGGTCCTAGTCGATCGTGCAGTAGTGAAGCGGAGGAGGGTACTCAGCAGAAAGTGGGTTTTTCGCCATGCTGACGGCACTATCGAGCGCTTCAAGGCACGCTGGGTCGTACGCGGGTACGATCAGCGCCACGGCATCGACCTTGACCAGACCTTCGCCCCCAACAGTCGCCACACCTCAGTCCGGATTCTACTCGCCATTGCCGCTGCTAAGCACCTGCCACTGCGACAGATCGACGTAAAGAACACGTTTTTGTACACGTTGGTGGACGCCACCATCTTTGTGGAGCAGCCAAACACCTACGGAGAAGGTGATCCCAGGGTCTGCCAGCTAAAGTAGTCCCTCTATGGGATCAAGCAGGCGCCTCGCCTCTGGCAGCAGCACCTGCACAAAATCCTCCTCGAAATCGGCTTCAAGCAGCTCCCACACGACCCGGGAACTTCCCCTGACCCGGTGGGTAGCGAGGTGCTATGATGGATCACAGACGCGCTAGATAATGCACTTTCTAGCTGGGTCGCCTATGTGGGACAGGCTCTTCCAGCACCGTCCCAAGAAGAAATAATTATAATAGAAAATAAACGAACTCGTGAACGACAACGGATGCATGATAAAGAGTCCCAAGGCGATGGCCGAACCATGAAGGGAAATGTGTGCGATGGAGAGGCGGAATTACAGCATACAATAACGAGAATCACGGAAGCCAAGCAGAGAGCAGGAAGTCGCGCCATTTTTGTCCTACTTACTAAGGACTGCTGCAAGCGTACTACGAGCCTATTCGAGCTGTTCCGATTGCGTTGCTAAACTGACAGCGTCGATGGTCGTCGTTATATCCGTGGAACTCCGCTCATCGCGAAAGTGTGAAGTCCAAAAGGTTGCGGGAAAGTAAATTCATAGTTGAAGTTCCGCACCGCAACTTTCCGTTAGGTGAAAAAAACTACAGGTCAAACGCTCATGTGCAGGGGTGACTTTCAAAGACACGGAAAAGTGACGGACAAGCGACATCTGGAACACAGAACCCAACTGGAAAGTGACATGAGAAGTGACGTACATGTCACTTCTGAGTCACGAGTGCCACGTGGACGCCTGATTGCCACTGGCATATATTGACAAAATTAGAAGAAAGAAAAGAGGTTTGAACTAGCAGGAATGAGGATACAAATAGCAAAACCCTAGAAGGGTTGTACTCGCTATAGAGCACCCCACTACAGGCTAGAACATAAGATAATATTCTGACACACCCCCATAGCCAAAGTGGGGTGTAATCAGCAGAGCAGGCAAAGCAAAACAAGCTCAGGGTGGATCACAATGTCACCACACATTCTGAGCACAAGTTCAAGAAGAAATAGTTTAGAGTTCACAATTCTAAGCAAAGCTAGTGGTAGTCACAACGGGCAAGTGAGGAGGAGGAGGGAGAGTGAGGGGAGAGGAGACAGGAGGCGACGGCTGAAGCTGCAGACACACGGGCAACAGGAGGCAGACTGGCACAGCGGCTACCGGACAGCGCCCGGACTACAGGAGTAACAGGCCCCGCGGCTCAAATAGCGGCGGACGGGCAACGGACCCACGGGCGGCTGGCACAGCTGGCTACGACTGGGCTACCGGGACAGCGCCCCGGACTACAGGTGCTGCGAACGACAAACTGACAACCTCCACTCAACCTCTCGCACACAGTCCCACCCCCCTGATACACACCCACTGCTACACCGCTAGCTCTACTCCCACGCACCCCCCTTAAACCCTAAACCCGAGTCTCCCACACAACCACCCCCCTCAGCGACAGCTGCAGCAGTGGGAGACGGAGGAGGAGGAGGAGCAAAGGAAGGAAAGTACACTGGCCACCCCCATACCTGCCACCCCACAGCGCCGGCCCCCGAAGGAGCCGCGACGGGCGACGGGAATTGGGGGGGAGGGGAGAAAAGGGGGGGGGGACGGGGCCGGGGCCGCGACGAGGGGCGGGGCCGCGACGGTCGGGGCGGGGCCGCGACATAGGGCGGGGCCGCGACGTAGGGCGGGGCCGCGACATAGGGCGGGGCCGCAACGTTGGGCGGGGCCGCGAAGGTAGGGCGGGGCCGAGCCGGACAGGCGCACGGGCGGCGACGGGCCGGGGCGGGGCCGCGACGAAGGGCGGGGCCGAGCCGGGCAGGCGCACGGGCGGCGACGGGCCGGGGCGGGGCCGCGACGAAGGGCGGGGCCGAGCCGGGCAGGCGCACGGGCGGCGACGGGCCGGGGCGGGGCCGCGACGTAGAGCGGGGCCGCGTCAAGGGGCGGGGCCGCGACGATCGGGGCGGGGCCGCGACGTAGGGGAGAAGCCCGCCGCGCGCCTCGGGGCGCACAGCGGGCAATGAACCACCGCGCGCCTCGGGGCGCACGGCGGGCAGAAAACCGCCGCGCGCCTCGGGGCGCACGGCGGGAGGAAAAAGTAGCACCGGAAGCGAGGTGGTAACCCACCCACAGGATCGATCCAAGGGGATCGACCTGCTCTGATAGCATGTCAAAAGTTAGAAGAAAGAAAAGAGGTTTGAACTAGCAGGAATGAGGATACAAATAGCAAAACCCTAGAAGGGTTGTACTCGCTATAGAGCACCCCACTACAGGCTAGAACATAAGATAATATTCTGACATATATGCTTTTTGCCAGCTGTCAAGGCAAATATGTGGAGACAAGCATGCGATGTGGGCCAATCCGAACGTCCAGTTACGTGTGCGGTAAACGAAGCTTATTGGCAGAAAAAATCAGAGTTCAGTATTCCGTAAGAGACACTGCAATTAGTTTACAGAGAGAATATCATAACTCTACAATGCATGTACTAGTTACATTAAATCCAAATACCGGTATGTTTCCAGAGGTGAGACAGTTTTTGTGTTCGTGTCTGCCCCTTGCCCCTTTGTGGGTGCTGTCCTGGCGGTGGGAGTCGGTGCCCTGGATTTTCGTTCCAAGCCGAAGCAATCCCACATTCAGTAGTTTCAACACTTAGTTCAGCAATTCACATGGACGTGCAAAGCACGCCCATGCACAGTCAGGTAATTAAGGGCGTGTAGCCAGATTTCCCACTCGGTCTTTCGCCCTCCAAGAATGGACAGACAAGTGTACAACAGATTACAGACGCTCTTACCGCAAGTGTCCACACTCAGCTAGTGGTGTGTTGCTCGCTAAGCATTGAATGCTGCCAATCGTTATGGCGGTGCATTGCTGGACCCAACTGGGCAAAGCGAGTCATTCTATAAACCACTTTCAAGAATGATCTGAGTTCTCTTATAAGGGCGCGTTCGTTCCGTTCCCAAGTTCGAAAATACGTTCGAACTTTAGGTGGTTACCCTTTTTGCCAATCTCGTCAAGAGCGTGTGACGAACGTCGCGAATTTCAGGGCTAATGAAAGTTCGAACCTGAAATGTGAACATGACTCGAGTTGGCGTTGGCGCAGTTACGCACAGTCCCGACTGATGGAGTTTCTAAAACCAGAGTATGGCTGTCTTTCAGAACGATGGTGTGGTTGGAGGAAGCTTGAGATCTGAAGCCATGTTTGAGAAGCAGCAAGGCTATGCTTGGCTAGAATCTTAGCCAACGCGACACGGAAACCATAGCCCTTACGAAACTTGCAGTTGAGAAGCAACTCCGGATGCCTGCGACCGTGGAGTAGCCCCTGAGTAAACTCCAAAACAAAATCGCATGGAATCCTGTATATTTCATTCGCACACCAACTATCAGACGAATGCAGTACGAGTGGAAGGCCGTCGTCGCGTCTTTCAAGTACTCGAACCGTATAAATGGGTTGTTTCTGCTTCGGCGGCGGCACCGCGACGCGGGATCCTTCCCCACCTCCACCGCAGAACAACCGGACAGTCTCGAGAACCCCGAGCGACACCAAGAGCCCCACCGCTGTTAGTAGAGCACAGAGCGGCCCGAAGAGCCCGAGAGCGCTGAAGCGACAGATTTCCAACACCGCAGCAGATCCATCCGTCGTACCGAACACAACCGCAGCGATTTCCGCGTTACCGAGTCCAACTGATCTACTACCGAACCCTAAGGCAGTCCCCACCGCGCTCCCGTGTCCCGACAGCGAGCCCCTGCTACCCGCAGATTCCGTTCGCGTGACTGTATCGGATGGTGACAGTGATCTCGCTGGCCCCGCTACAAAGCAACCGCAGCAAGCGGCGGCGTCCGCCTCGGTGCTAAGTCCGAATCCGGCGGGACCGACGATGCTAGTATCCTACGCTGCTACTAATGCTACTATTGGTTCTACTGCTGCTAATAGTAGTGGTACCGCTCCCCAAGTCGCGTCTCCAGCTGTCGTAACTCCTAGTCCGCGAGGGAATGCCGGCGCCTCGGGTGCTGCTACTAACTTTTTCGCCATGCATCGCCTCCCCAGCCCGGCTGCTCCGCTGCCTGCCCCTAAGTCCGCCACGTCATCGGCTACCTCCAAGACAGCAGGTCCTGTCCAGCTAGGCCTAGACATCCAGAGCCCGCGGGGAGTGGCGGCGCTCGGAAGCTTCCAGAGTCCGCGCGGGCGGAAGAAGCCGTCCGCCGCGCAGCCGTTGCGCACCCCCAGCGCATTGGCGCGGCTCCCCCTCCCCGCATCTTCCGCCGCCGCCTCCTTCGCAGCCTCCGCCCCTCCCGTCCCCTCCGCCGCTTCCGCCTCCTCCGCCTACTCTATCCCCGTCGGCGCATCTTCCATCTCCCCCTCCACCCGTTCCGCCTCCCCCTCCGCGGCTTCCGCGTCCCCCGCGGCGCATTCCCCCGGCACCAACCAACCCGCGGAAAACCCCTCCAGAAATGCTTCCCCGCGAACCGGCGGCGGCGCTACGCCCGCGCAGGTGGCGCAGGTCGGTTCCGCCACTCCCTCCCCCGCCGCTACGCCCACCGCTGCCGGCGCTGGCGGAGTCCCCGGCGCTTCGCCGACTGCGGAGACCGCGGCGGAGGCGGTTCCCCTTCCGCTGCCAGCGAGTGGCGAGATCGCCGCGCGAGCAGCTGCTGGGGGGAGCGCGCAACCCGCGAGCCCCGCGGGTGGCGCGGGCACGGGGGGCGCGGGGAGCGCGGGGGGCGCGCGGGCTGTGTTTCCGCCTTCCCCCAGCGCCGCCCCCTTGGGTGTGAGTGAGTGGGGAGTAGGCGGAGGGGGGGAGAGAAATGTGGGGTCGTTAGGGAGGCGTCGGGAAGAGGGGGTTGAGGAGAATCAGCAGCAGCAGCAGTCGCAGCAGCCGCAGAATGGAAATGCTGGTGACAAATTCGTCTTGCTCCATAGCGGGACAGCAGCATCAATGCCAGCACTTCAAACGAATCAATACCATCCCCAGCCACTGGTGCTGCCGCTGCTGTCTCTGCTGCTGCAGCGGCAGCTTCCCAAACCACTAGCGCCGCTGCTTCTGCTGCCGCTGCCGCTGCTGCTGTAGACGCAGCAGTATCTGCTGCTGCTAGTGCCAGCAGCGCCGGCAGCAGCAGCGGCAAGGGGAAAGCGCCCACGCCCCTAATTCCCTTCACATACGCGCAGGTGCAGCAGATGGCGTGGGGGTTTGCGGAGGAGGGTAGAATCGGCGAGGGCGGGTTCGGCGTGGTGTACAAGGGGAATTTACCCACGAAAAGCGGGCGCAAGATTCCTGTGGCTGTGAAAGTGCTGAATGCGGAAGGGCAGCAGGTAAGGTTTTGATATAATCACAGCAGGCAAGTACTATCACAATTTATCGACAGAAATTGTTGATAAACGGATCGACTACCACAGTCACTGTTCTCGTCTCTCTCCTTTCCCTTGTGGGTTACTGCGCCCCCTCTCCCCTTCTGCTCCTCCCCCTCCCCCATCCCCTTACTTCAGGGCGAGCGCGAGTGGTTGACTGAAGTCAGCGTGTTGACCCATCTCATCTCTCCCACCCCAACCTCGTCTCTCTCGTGGGTTACTGCGCGCGCCACCACCACCGCATGCTCCTCTACCCCTCTCTTCTCTTACCCAAACCCCCCGGCCTCTCTTCCCCTTCCCATGTCCCCCTCTCCTGCTCCCCGTCTCCCCGTCTCCTCCTCTTACTAACTACTCCGGTCACTACAGGGCGAGAGAGAATGGTTGACTGAAGTGAGCGTGTTGGCCCATCTCTCCCATCCCAACCTGGTCTCTCTCGTGGGTTTCTGCGCGCACCACCACCACCGCATGCTAGTATACCCCTACCTCCCCAACGATTCCCTTGAGCAAAGGCTTTTCGGGCTGCCCGCAAAGGAAACGCCGCTGACGTGGCAGCAGCGGATTGGCATTGCGGTCGGGGCAGCAAAGGGCCTCGCTTATTTGCACGAGGAGACGGAGAAACCGGTGAGTTGGATGTTTTTCAAATAAAGATATGTTCTGTGAGTCGACATCAAATGCGCGCCTGGCTTATTTGCACGAGGAGATAGAGAAGGCGGTGAGTTATGAACCAGCTCAGATAACAGAATGCGTTTTTAGTCGACTCATACTATTCGGTTCGGCCCGGCATTGCGCTTGGGGCGGCCAAAGGGCCTGGCATATCTACACGAGGAAATGGAGAAGGTGGTGAGTTGTGAGCCCGCTCACAACGTGCGCTTCATTTCCGACTCAATATCTGCTCGAGGAAATGGGAAAACCCGGCATGGTGGGCGGCGCGGCAAAGGGCCTGGCGTATCTACACGAGGAGATGGAGAAGGCTGTGAGTCGTGAGCACGAGTCGGTTAATTGTCTTGTCGGTAGAAATATGCTGCTCGGTGAGTCGACTTCAACTGCTGAAACAGCGTTTTTGAGACGTCTCATAAACACTCTTTTCTCACTCTTTGCTGCTACTCCCGACATGAATCTTAATCTCTTTTCTCACGGGTCCCGGCGTATTTGCACGAGGAGATAGAGAAACGAGTCGATTTTTGAGTCGACTCCAAAATCTGCTCAAAGGGCGTTTTTGGGCCCGGCGTACTTTCACGAGGAGATAGAGAAACCAGCGAGTTCCTATTTTGCTCAAGAGAGGTACTTTGATTCGACTGCTAACTCAGAAGGTGTATTTGAGCTGGCGGTGTTCCTATTCAAAAGAGGCATCTTGAGTCGGGTCTGTGAGTTCCGTGTTGGCGCAAAATCGAAGTCCCACGGGTCTTCGTTCATGGTTTTGGAAGAGCGGTTCAAAAGATGCATCTTGAGTCGAGTCTGTGAGTTCCGTGTTGGCGCAAAATACTGCCAACGGGCAGTCGTCTTAGAAGGGCTAGCTTTTTCTGTCTCTAGTGCTATTTTCCATTTTCTTGTCTCCGGTGTTTTTTTCCATTTTCTTGTCTCCAGGACTGGCATGCTAAGTCTCTGTCTTATTGGCCCTCCTGTTCCCTTCCCTTCCCGTTCGTCTCCTCGTGCTCCTCCCTTCTTCCCCCACCCAGCAGATCAGGTCGTCTACCACTCACTGATGAGCCTCGGGAAGCTCCTTGTCTTTGGGCTCCCACTCACTCACTGCTACAGCCACCGCTCCTAGTTTTGAGGCGCCTCAAAACTAGCCAACCCAGCAGATCAGGTCGTCTACCACTCACTGATGAGCCTCGGGACGCTCCCTGTCTGTTGGCTCGCACTCACTCACTGCTACAGCCACCGCTCCTTCAGGGAATTTTTTAGAATTCTCTAAAAATCCTTCGGGAAGCTCCCTGCCTTTTGGCTCGCTATCACTCACTGCTACAGCTACCGTTCCTTATCCCTTCCCTTTTAATTGACCCCCGTCCCATCGCATCCCACCCCTTCCCACCCCATCAGATCATCTACCGTGATTTTCAAGACGTCCAACATCCTCTTAACCAAGGACTGGCAGGCAAAGCTCTGGTTTGCACTCACTTGTGCGGGGACCCAGCATCATTGCCCGCCCTTTTGCGCATGCCCCACCCACCCCACCCCACCCCATCAGATCATCTACCGTGCTTTCAAGACGTCCAACATCCTTCTAACCAAGGACTGGCACGCCAAGCTCTCAGACTTTGGACTCGCACTCACTCACTGCTATGCTATCCCACCAAAACCCACCGCATTCCACCCCATCAGATCATCTATCGTGATTTCAAGACGTCCAGTCCAACATCTTGCTAACCAAGGACTGGCACGCCAAGCTCTCCAACTTTGGCCTCCCACTCACTCACTCACTGCTACCACCACCTTCTCTTCTCACGTCCCTTTGCCTTGTCCGCCATTCTGCCCCACCCCACCCCATCCCACCGCACCCCACCGCATCAGATCATCTACCGGGATTTCAAGACGTTCAACATTCTTCTAACCAAGGGCTGGCAGGCGAAACTCTCCGACTTTGGGCTGGCCAGAAGCGGGCCGGAGGGGGACAACACGCACGTGTCCACTCGGGTAAGCACCACAGCACATGCACTTTCACTGGTAAGCATCACATACACGTTCGCGGGTATACACCTTGGTGTGGCATCCTCCTAACCAAGGACTGGCAGGCGAAGCTCTCCGACTTTGGGCTGGCAAGAAGCGGGCCGAGGGGGACAACACACACGTGTCCACTCGGGTAAGCACCAGCCACGTGTCCATGCAGGCAGGCAAGAACACCCGACGTTGAAGCTTGCTTAGACGAATCCCTAAGGTTTGGGCTCACGAGAAGGGGCTACAAGGGGGGCAAGGCAACACATCTGTCGATCGACACGGTATAGTTACGCCCGCATTTGATGTCAACACAGATGAGAGCCGTGTTGACATGAGCACTTGAGCCAATGCTCACACGCTGAAGGGGGTGTTTGAGAGTGTGAGCAACACTCACATTTCATGTCAACACGGATGAGAACATGAGCGCTTGAGCGCTCATGTGGTCCTTTTTTACGGTGTATCGGGGGGGCCAAGGTGAGTTTTGAGTCGACTCAAAAGTCACCTCATGGGCGCTTTAGTCCACTCATGTGGTCCTTTTTTACAGTGTATCGGGGGGGCCAAGGTGACTTTTGAGTCGACTCAAAAGTCACCTCTTTTTGACGGTGTATCGGGGGGGCCAAGGCATCACACGTACTGTGCATGCGGGTGAGAGGAGAGCACGTGGTGTAGGAACTTGGAGTTTCACCCCGCCTTCCCCTCCCCTGCCCTCCCCCGACCTTCCCTTGTGCACTTTCCAGCCTTACCGCTTGTAGCAGGTTTGGGACCGGACCAAGCGGCAGCTCTGACAAGAGGCTCAGCAGGAGGGGCTAGCTTCGGCAGCCGCCCTCACAGCCCCTTCACCACCACCAGCGGCGCTGCTGGTGGTGCCGCCGCTGCTGCTGCTGCTCCTGCTGCTGCCGCCACTGCTTCTGCTGCAGCTGTCGCCACTTCTCCTCCTGCTGCCGCCACTGCTTCTGCTGCTGCTGCCGCCACTGCTTCTGCTGCTGCTGCCGTCACTGCTTCTGCTGCTACTGCCGCCACTGCTCCTGCTGCTGCTACTGCTTCTGCTGCAACTTCTGGTGGTGCTGGTGCGGGTGTTGTTGGCGGTGCTGTTGCTGCTGCTGCTGCTGCGGGGATTGCTGCGGGTATTGGGGGAGCAACAGCCAGAGCGCCAAGGTTCGGCAATCTCGGAGCTTATGGGCTTGCGCCTTTCGAGTCAATCCAAAGGCCAGTGGGAGGGGCGGCGGTGGAGACAGGGACGTGTGGTGGGTGCGGCTTGGGAGGGGGCGGCAGCTTCAGTGCTCACCTGGGCGGCAGTAACGGAAATTTGGCCAGCAGTGGGGGTTCAAATCTGGGCGGCAGTCTGAATCTGGGTGCTGGTGGTTGCGGTGGGGGTGGTGTGGCGATAGGGAGTTGCGGGGGGTACAGAGTGGTGAATCTGCATTTGTCTTCGGTGGTGCTGGCAGCCAAGTCTGCCTTCTTCCGCACGCTCTTCACGTGTGGCTTTAAAGAGACGTGTCAGAACAACCCAGTGGTGCTCAATGTCGCGCCTGAAGATAAGGCTATCGTTACAAGAAGAAAAGTATGTGCCTGTCTCTTCGTGCCGTACCTGCTGCAAAAAACTCTCTACTGCCTGCCTTTACTCGTCACTCTATCATTGTGTCATGCCTCCCGGTCCCCACCAACGAACCTCTCCCATTGCCCACAGAGGAGGGCCCAGTGATCGATCTCCTTCGATTCATCTACACGGGCGACATGGCGGAGGGCAACAGCGACCCCGAGGACATCATCAAGATGTACCTCGTGTCAAACATTATATATGTTATGCTTGTGTAGGCTACAGTGGGTTAGCCTATAGGGGGTACACAATTCTAGGGTTTCCTACTTGTACTCATTTCACTGCTAGTTCATTCATTCCTGTTCGCTTATTCTCACATGGTATAGAGCGGGTCCTTCTACGGACCGTTTTTTGGGCCCACCGAAGCGCCCCCCGAGGCGCGATCCTTTTTTTTTAGCGACCCCTCGGGTCGCCATTTCCCCTGCGGCCCCGCCGCCTTCACTAACGCGGCCCCGCCGCCCTCTCTGTCGCGGCCCCGCCGCCTGCTCTCGCGCGGCCCCGCCCCGGCTTCTACGCGGCCCCGCCCCGGCTTTCACGCGGCCCCGCCGACGGCTTTGTCGCGGCCCCGCCCAGGCCCTTACGCGGCTCCGCCGCCTGCTCTCACGCGGCCCCGCCCCGGCTCCTTCGCGGCCCCGCCGCCTGCTCTCGCGCGGCCCCGCCCCGGCTTCTACGCGGCCCCGCCCCGGCTTTCACGCGGCCCCGCCGACGGCTTTGTCACGGCCCCGCCCAGGCCCTTACGCGGCTCTGCCGCCTGCTCTCACGCGGCCCCGCCCCGGCTCCTTCGCGGCCCCGCCGCCTGCTCTCGCGCAGCCCCGCCCCGGCTTCTACGCGGCCCCGCCCCGGCTTTCACGCGGCCCCGCCGACGGCTCTGTCGCGGCCCCGCCCAGGCCCTTACGCGGCCCCGCCGCCTGCCCCCGTTGCGGCCCGGTCACCTCCTGACGGCCCCGCCGTCCCTTCGTGACGGCCCCGCCGTCCCTTCCTGACGGCCCCGCCGTCCCCTCCTGACGGCTCCTGCCGTCCCCTTCTACCGGCCCCGCAACTGCACCTGCTGGCCCCGCCGCTGCACCTACCGGCCCCCCACCACCCACCCCCCCTT